TGATAAAGCACAAGGTCCAGATATACATGTGTCCTGGCCTCGGATGTTCGATGTACTTATTGTTTTACGCTAGTTAAGAACAGACAAGAAAATGAGATCAACTAAAAGAATATATTATATACTTTGCATTCCGTTTCATGCTTCGTGAATATCTCTCTGCTGGATTTGATGAGAGGGAGTCTACTCGTCATTATGTGGTAAAGGACCCTAAAGTGATAACTCCTTGACATGTATCTGGAGCCAAGGAAATATTCATCTAAGCACAGTATATGCACGTCTGTTATTTGACTGATGCTAATCTATAGAATTGCCAGTTGCTTTCTTCTGGATTGGCCTTTTTTGCCAACTTGTTGACGGATGAGCGCTGGGGAGGAGCCCGAGTTTCATAGGCGACGATCGTAATACTTCTGTCATACGTCACCACTTTCACAGAAAATAACGCGATAATGGTGGATGCTGCTACCTGCGGAATCAGAGTTTCAAGGTCCTTGACATTCTCTCTCGGACGAGAATAGTACGCTGGAAAAGGTGTCGAAGTACGATATTCTTCTTGCCTGGAGACCATTCATGGCCAAGAGAAGCTTGCTTATAGCGAATTGTTTGATTTCAGAGCCTTCTATGGTTTACAGAGTGAATACAAATGTGATAATCGACAAGTTCCTGATGGTTGCGGCTGGTGTCTCTTTGTGGACGGCCCTTGAATTGGGACGATGGCGTCAATAGCTGGAACGGGGGCAAGAAGAGGTATGCCCGATAGATAGCACAGAGAAGGGATTGGATGATCGAGGGTTATTGAGAAGGGAGTGAATTCTCGTTGAAGCTGGAGATGGACTTTTCCCTGTTTAGCGACCAAGATCCTGTAGCTGTTGGGAAGAAGTTGTGGGAAGCACAGCGGGAGATGGCACCTATTTGGCCCGGCTGGAGCTCGAGGACAGCCAAAACCAAGCCACTGTTTCTGCCTTAGGAAACACTGACCGAGGTGTGAAGAATTAGTACTCAAATTAGGCTCACCAATGAGTTGTAGATTTTTAGGTGAATAAAAACTGATGATATCTCCATTGGCATGCGCGTTTGTGCTTGAAAATGAAGAATCGTAGATGATGATCAATGGGGGGACAGAGTGAACCTCATCTGATCTGGAACGCACAGTTTGCCTACTTTCTCCGTTCAAGACTCTCTGCTAAACTCGTCTTTGCTTTGCCTCAACCTACCGGCTCTAGTTTCTGGGGAAATGGCAGTTGGCGCTATCACCAAGTCAACATTCGACCTTTCCTCAAACCTTCCACCAGAGATCTGCAATTAATTTATATGATCGTCATGTACGGCGGCCTGACAACTCTCTCTCTCTCTCTATATATCGGTTAATCGGACTTGAAACCAGTTGAAGGTGCTACTGCGGCCCCCTCGGTTCAATCCAGATCGTCCACGGGTCTACGGCTAGCTCAAACAGCGGACACCGAACATTTAGGATGAAAGCAGGGGATTGTCAGATTGAAAGCCCAGGATTCATCAAACTCCTGAGAGACTGCTCGGAACCATGTTGAGGATGTCTGCTAGGTGTGACTGGCCGCCGGAATTTCATATCATTCCTGTTCAACTTTCCAGAGTATAATCTCACGAATGTGTTCTACAGGTAGTTTTAAATTCACGCATGTTTTGGCTGGTTAGACACGGTGAGGAAGATATCAGTTCAGTTGCAAGGACCCGGTCTAGGAGGTCTGGCTGATTGTGGCAAGGTATATGGGGGCGCTATTGAACACCCAAGCCTGTAATCAAGGGTTGGTTAGAAGAGTCGTCCATGGTTGTTCGCGTCTAAGTATGAAGCGAGTGAGAACTAGGAGGCCTGGAGTTGGGATAAATAATAACAGCAAATGAATGGGTATGTAAGCCTGTGAGTTGGACCGTTGGCTGGCCTCAGTGGTGCCCGATTAGCGGCCGGCACTTAACGCGGTCAGTGCAGCCAGCGCACGCGTCTGGGTCGGGCAAGGCTACCAGCACCTCAACCATCGAACCCACACGCGTTCCTGCCATTTCAGGTATACCACCCATCCATTTCGTCTCGGGCAGGACCGACCTCAACCTCACCTTCTCCTTCCTGCTGCCGCTGAGCCATTGAGCCACAACGCCCTCACCAGCCACAGTTACCTCATCGGCAAGATATAGCAACTCATTTCCTCCTTGGCTCCCATCTCTTATGAGTTTGGGTTGGGTTGCCACTCGTGCTGCTCAGCCTCCTCCCTGCAAGAATTTCACTCCCTCTCACTCGCCCGCAGCCAGTCGCATTGCATACATACATGCATGCATCGGCGTGAACTCCCATCTCCTCCAATCCCACCTCTCCTGTCCCGCCCATCACCAGGTCCATCATAAGCCCAGAGTGAACAACAACCTTCGCCCTTTCCTATAATCCACCCTTGCCCGCCTCCTCCCTCTTCTCACCATGCCCCCGCGGAAGTCCACTGAAAGTCGTAAGAGCGATGTCTCAACCGCTCGCTTTGCCCTCAAGGAGGGTGCCATCCCACAACACATCGCCCCGGCCGCTCCCAGCTCCTCCCCGCTCCCGGCGGCATCATTACCCACGGCCAATGAGACCCAGGACAGCCCGGATGTAACAGACAAGAAAGGGGATAAAGACCAAGAGAAGGATAAGGAAGCAAAGGAAAAGGAAAAGGACAAGGACAAGGACCCAAAAGGAGAGCATAAGGATGCTCTTACAATCGAGGTATGCTGGTTTCCTTTACTTGATATCTCTACAGCCGTTGCAGGCGCCTCGCTCCAACTCCGACGCCCGCCTATATTCACATCGACTGACATCCCAATTCAAGGAACTTACTCTCCCTAAATCTATCATCACAAGGCTAGCCAAGGGTGTGTTGCCTGCAAACACACAGATCCAGGGCAATGCCATTCTCGCCTTGAGCAAAAGCACTACTGTTTTCATCAACTACCTCGCCACCTAGTAGGTTTCATCCCAACACGGGGGGACGACAGAAAAAAGAGCTAGTCCTTCTAACATTGCAACCACAGTGCCAACGAACATACGGTCAATGCCGGAAAGAAGACCATATTACCAAATGACGTCTTCAAGGCCCTCGAGGATACCGAGTTCGGTTTCCTCAAGGAGCGACTAGAGGCCGAGTTTGCCAGTACGTCCCCATGCTCCCAAATAAAAACCTTTGGTTCTTACATAGTCTTGATCGCTAAAACTCGAACCTCTTTTTTCGTTTCTGTTTTCTAGAATTCAGCGCTATCCAAACGGAGAAGCGCACATCCTACCGTAACAAGGTCAAGGCCGCCAAGCATGATGGCGCGCCCTCAAACGCGGGAGACACATCTACGCTCTCCACCGCCACTGAATCCAAGGCGGGAGCAGATGACACCGAGATGGCTGACACTACCCTCGGTGCCGCGTCGGAGGCATCCGGGCCCCGCGCCAAGAAGGCTCGGATTGATCCCTCGGCGGCTGCTGCCGGGGATGAACATGACGACGCCGAGACTGAGGATGACGAGGAGCATTTGCGGGATGAGGACGAGGAGGAGCAGGAAGAGGAGGAAGAGGAGGACGACGGGGCCAGTGCCGAGGAGAGCGGAGATGAGACGCAGGATGCCATCGAGGAAAGAAACGGAGTTGAGGAGCACGACGAGGCATTGGACGGCGACGAGAGCGACTAAGGCCCGATACAACATCGATGCTCTCCAACGAAACAGTGTGGCAGCTCGAATGACCGGCTCGAGCTACCCAGGAGTACGCCCCCCTCTCTATGAAAGCACTGCGTTAGACACAAAAAGAAACTGCATGACCGCTCTTGGCTAGTATACCATGGCAATATACATATTCCTGATCTAATTATTCTACCCCATCATTCCCCGGTTGCCAATCCCCGTTACATCATGGGAAACCAATGCTCAGTGTCACTTTATCAATCTGTCTAACCCCAAGTAGTTCGCAGTGATAATAATAATGATTGATAGAAATAGATACTCGATAGAAATGAGGAAATCCACTATTAACTGAAAGGATATTCATAAAGACCTCCAAAGCCACCCCAAAAGCCCAAGATAAGATCCCACCCAGCACCAATCATATGTAACGTTCAAATATCACCTTGCCTCAACTCGTCACCCAGTGAGAGCCCAAGCAACAAACATCAAGACGGGTGCAATAGACGCCGAATGGCACATATCAGTCTGCCCAAGACCTCTCGTGTCCCCTATCCCTACCCAGTCTGAGAGGAGAACAAAATAGCAAGCCCAAAAAAGCCGTGGCGCTCAGGAGTGTAAACTATCAACAAGTCTCAATAAACCACGATGTGACTATCGATTCCTTGACTGCAAGGACCGAGGCTATGTCACTAAAATTGATGACATTGGCTTGTCCCGTCAATCAAAACCAAGTAGTTATCGGGATCAAACACCCCGTGGAAGCCAACGAATTGAAGCTGAAAAATCAACAAGAAACCGAGTGGTATCAAAAAATAAAAATAAAAAAAAAGTAGAAGAAGTAAGAGAGACCAAGCAGTGTGCATAACCCCCGTGTATATAACCGGCGAGAAAACTGGAGCATGAGAAAACCCGAAAAGAAGGAAAAGACATGTGAATCCTTCCTGAACAGCAATGAGAACGAGGCCCTCCTCCCAGAGTCAAGCCCATTGTGAAAAAGGGTAGCAGTTCATGTGCGTGCATGTGCGTGAGAACGTGGTACGCATGTGTAGAACTCCATCCCATCAGATAAGTGAGCAGCAAATGCCAAACCACCGTCAAATCAAACAAGGCGGCTAGTGAGCTCCCCAAACCCGACTCCTCTATCCAATCCCTGCCAATGCTACTAGATTGGACCCCAGGTCCGAAAGCAAATAAGCCTCACCACCAACTAGCATGCTTGGGTATCCAGGAATAACGCAGGCTACTGAGCCAACGGAAGGGTAAAGATATTAGAGCCAACGCAGAAGCAAAATTCAACTGAAAACAAAAGCTAGGCAAAGAACTCATGAGACAGCGTCTCACTGTGGCTGTTGCGGTGTCCCCCACCACTGCTGAGGTGATGAATGCTGCCCGGACCATGACTGCGAGACTTGGGGGTTTGCAGGCGTGCTCTGTGGTAAGTATTGCCTGGGTGTTTGCTCTGCTGAGTACATCCCCCCTGTGGCCGGATATTGCATGCCGCCCATTGCGGGAAACTGCATCCCCGGTTGCATCTGACTGGTGCCAGACTGTCGCAAGTGAGAAGCTGGCGACTGAGACTGCGCGGGAGGCTGGGCTTGTGTTGTGTAGCTACCATAACTGTGTTGGGGAGTCTGTGGGGCTTGCGACCACATATTTTGGCTGGACTGGTAGTTATAGTTTGGTGCTTGGCTGATGCTACTTGAGGACCCTGCTATAAAAAGAAATTCAGCAATGAGATACGCTGCCCTTAAACAGCGATCAAGATAACATACCACGAATTGGCGCCTGGCCTGCCTGGGCATGGATTGTCTGTGAGTAAGGAGGCGCCGTCATCATCATCTGCGGGCTCTGAGACGATACAACAGGTGGCTGAGAGATTCCCGAAGTAGTCGTATGAGGCGAGTTAGTAGATCTCGTGGTCGGGATAGCTGGGTCGTTGGGTTGGTTCAAGTTGGACGACGGCTGTTCATGAGGACGGCGCCAAACAGCCTGAAGATAGTCACCTCGCATATCCCGTTGCTGATTGACGGACCTGCTGAAATCGGCTGCGTGGGAAGCTTGTGAGTGAATCTCACCGAGGGGCGAGGGCCGGGTCTGGTCTTGGTATGGAGGGCCGGTAATTTCCTGTCGTGGACCACCTTTAATAATTCCACTGTAGTCACGCGGCCTATTGTCGTTCAAATCTGATCCTATTGTTAATCCAGGCATCCTTGTGGAATTTCCAGGTGGCGCTCCGATCATACCTGCTTGAAGGAGTGGTGGTTGAGGTGGACCGGGGTAGGCGCCAGGGCTGTGATTGTAGACAATCTCTGTATGCGAGCTCGGCATAAGAACGTTGTTTTGCGCCTCGGCGGCTTCTCTTGCTTTGGCAGCGCCAGGTCGCTTCTCCCCAGCAAGATCGGCCTCTGTGAAGCCTTGTTTGCGGGCCTTCTGCTCCCAGTAGTCGTCGCGGACACGTCGTCCATTCTCGATTACCCTACTACCAAACTGACGGAACATAGATCTCGCGGTCACAATTGCTATTTGCCTCGATCGATACGAGAACGGGAGGATTTCCTGCTGGACAAGGTCGTCTTTTTCAGCCTGGCTCGCAATGATCTTGAAGAGAGACCTGTTTTTGTTGAACAAGAGGTATGAGTCGCGATAGCCTAGAACCCGAGCGCACTCTGTAGCAAGCATGAAAAGTTTGTCGCCGCGGTTGGGAACCAAGAATGTCCTGCATCGGTATGTTCGATTGCCGAGAAGCTGACCATTAGCCATCACCTTCTTCTCTCCAAATTCATCGATTTCACGAGGGATATATTCGTCGCCTGTCTCATTCAACTGGTCGGTCGTATGATCTCTTACGGTGGGTAGAGCCTTTAGTGTTGACTTGGTTGGAGTGGTCTTTGGCGGAGCTGCAGCGGGTGCAGGGGAAGCTTGGTAAGCTGGAGTGGTTTGCGATGGCAAGCTCGCATCCTGAGTTTGCGGCGTGTGAGGAGGGGGGATTGTTTGAGGCATTGTGGACACGGGCGCCTGGCCAGGAACTATCGCTGAACGAGTCCCGGTGTGCTTCAATTTTGTCGAGGTCGCGCGTTTCGAGGAGCGTTCAACGTCACCTAGATGCAGCGTGTGTGGTCAGTTGGTAGTTCCAAGCGGATAGAGCAATTTGTAAATCTAATTTGGTTTGCGCAAGGTTTCACGAGGGAGGTGAGGTCATGGAGGTCGGGAGAGGGGATCGGTCGTTCACGGGAGTGTTCATGTGGCCAAGCAACTTGCTCGGCGACACAGAAAGCAGCAGCCCACGACATACCATCATCGCCGGGATGCGGCGAGGCGTAAGAGGTTGGTGAGCGACCACGCTTATAGCCGCGAAGCGACGAGTTTGCTAAACCTTCAAAGGCGTATTAGATTAGCTGAGTCAAAGTTGAGGTCTGGTAGCGGGTTTGGAAAAGAGCAGGGAATAAATAGGTGGATCGCAACGGCAGCACGCGGCGCGCGCCGCCGCCGCGTGGGGTGAATGTGTCAATGAATGCGCCAGGCTCGACTCAGAAAGTACCAAAGACACAGGACAAACAAACAAGCAGTGTTTATTATATTCTTCTTCTTCTTGAGTCGCGATATTCTGGTCCCACAAACTCCGTTGAATTTGAACGTTCGTGCTAAAGATGAATGTGGGTGTGTGTGGGAGCGATGGGTGTGGTGGGTGGTGGCCCGGGAATGGGGTTCATTCCAACCAACGGTTCATCAACAGCAAAGGACAAAACGGGGAAAAAGAAAAGAAGAACTCACCAGGGGAACTGAGGGCCGCGGGGTTGATTGTCGCACTATCGGCGCCAGGTGGACGCGCGTTGTACATGACAGACAGGAACGACCCGAGCCAGCGGCAACGATGTTGGGGCAAGCGACGTGTCGTGAGGTAGTTGGACTGTGGAGATCTGGGGAAAGAGGATGTGCAGATAGGCAGGATTAAGCGTGCATGTATGTGGACGGGCGGTTTACGGGGAAGGGGGAGGGTGTGTCGGAGCCCTGGAGGAAGACTGGATGGAATGTAGGGGGGCAGACAGGACAAGGTTAATAGAAACGAACCAGCCAAAAGGAACGAGCAGATGGCCGCTCGAGTAAGGCAGCGATTTGAGGGGTGGAAGGGGGGGAGGGGCGGGCGGCAAAATTAATAATCGGTTGGAGAGGTCTGTGTTCGTGATGAGTGGCCGAAAGAGCAATGATGGCAAAGATTATACCAGGGAAAGTGATTTGAAGGAAAGGTGGACGGTGTAATCCAGGTCGCTTAGCACGCCAGCAGCCATGGCTAGCAGCGAAGATGCTGGTCCACCACCAGTATCGGTAGCGCGGGGCAATTGGGAGAGGCGGAACTGGCGGATGTCATAGACGGAGCGCAACCAGGCAAGGAAAAGTCAAGAACAAGAGAGAGGGATAGGGCGGGCGACAAAAGATGATGGCTGAAGAGGTGAGGTTTTACCTTTTGGATGAGTTTTGCGCCGTCTTGATCGGCCGGCGGTAGGGCGTGGGCGTGTGCAACGGCGGCGAGGACAGGCACAGGATTGGTGGTGGCAGCACTCAGGAGCGCAACGAATGCGATGCGACACGGTCAGATGCAGAGGTGGCCGTCGCGTGAAGAGGAGGTGCGGATGAAGGCCACGGGAGGTTTGGGAACCCAGTCAGAAATGTGTATGATGGTGCTGGGCGTGCCGAACTGGTGGCAGGCGGTAGGTGGTGGAGGCGCGCGTGCGGCAACGGCCTGGTAGGTAGCGCAACCAGATGAAGATGTGATTGCGATGCGATGCGATGCGATGCGATCCAGGCGACGTGTGGGGAATAAAGGTGTTTCTGGGTCGAGCAGTCGCGCAACGTACGCGCGAGGCTCAGATTGTGTGATGTGCGACAACAGAAGCTCCTTTGAGCCTTGCCTAAGTATGGATGGAGCCACGAGTCAATGGGTGGCAGCGATGGTAAGGGTGGTGGTGGTGGTGGTGTTGGTGGAGGAGGAGGAAGGCGTTGCGGGTGGTGGGTTGAACGGTAAATGGAAAGGCAAGGTAAGGTTGGGCTAGGTGTAGGTGATGGGCACAGGTAGGGCCACGGAAGGTGTGGAATGGTGGTGTTGGAGGCGATTGTACCTGCGAGGTAGATTTGGGGTGGGACGGGCCTGGGAGCTGGGACTGGGCTTTAGAGCCTGTAGCCAAGGCCCCGTCAGGGTGCAGAGAGGTCGAGAGGGACGGGAATCCCACTATTAGTAGGTGCCCAGTGGGGTTAGACAAAATATGGAAAACAAGCGCTTGCTTGCTTAGGGAGGTAGGTATCGAAAGGTATTCCCAGGTGGGCATTGGGTTTTCCGTGTCGCTTGCGGTGGTCTGGTTGGGTTGAGAGGACCTAAGGCCGGCTGACTTACAAGATGGAGGCTGGATGGTTTGGGCGGTGATGGAGGCGGGCGGCAAGGCCGTTCGCAGACTAGATGTGCTGGGCAGGCAAGATAAACAAGGTGGAAAGCCAAAATGATGCACTCTGCGGCTCGTTTGGCTCTTGATTGCTATTTTGAATCCCGCAGCGCAGGCCTGGGTCGTTGGCGGCATCAGACAGTCGATGGAATGGATAGATGGATGGTCGGCGAGCTGGGGGGAGGGAGGGCGGGAGGGGTGTGTGGACGATTTGATGACCATCCATGAACGCAGGCCCGGTGCACAGGCAGGAACGATGCTGCCTCAAGCTCGACCTACTGCCCTCTCGTGCTTGCTTAGCGTCATGCACAAGGCGCCAGAAACAGGAAAGAGGGTCTTGTCCGAGGTTTTGTGGAGTCCGTGGACGCATACGGATAAGCGAGAGGAGATGCCAGCGGAGAAAGGCATCCATCCATGCCGATGCTGCAATAGCTGCAGCCTGGGGGTGCATATCGCGCTAGGGTCCTCCATGTGAGTCGCTCGCTCCCCTCTCGAGGGCTCTTCAGATCAGTCGGTGCTGTCAGAGCGCAGGGGAAGCGCCCATCCCTGTGCTCAGCAGCAGTATATCCATGTATGTCCTGGCCTGCGTGCCTGCATGCATTGCGTCCAAATGGGCTGCATTCTTGCTGCACATGCAAGTCAGCCCCAAGTCCCAAGTAAGTCGGTCCCGTAATTAACACACGTCCGTGCGAAGGTGCGAGTGGGCACCCACCTGCCGATGCTGCTGACAGCGCCGCCGGCCAGAGAGGGCCATTTGCTCCCGAATCGAGCAGATCGTTGAACCAGCACCGACCCAAGACTAAGCTGGGCCAACTTTACTCGATTGACACTGGCCGGGGGCCGCTCCACGACCTGTGATGCAGGCTGGGAGTATCTTAGTGCCGCTTGTCGCCTCCAAGCCCTATCCAAGACACGGCGTGCGAAAGCCGCTATCCCACATGCTAGTGAGTGCTACTATCCTTGATCAGATATCTATTATACTGCTTCGAGCAGGTGAGGCGTCTAACTCACCAACCTCGGTCCCTCACCAGCTCGACGGCTCCTTTTTTTCACATCCAGAGACCAAGAGGGGAGACTCCGCTGATGGGGTGTCGTCCACGACCGATGAGACCTGAACTTTACCTTTGGCACCCCGCTGGCCGTTCACCGTTCGCTTCGTGCACAGTAAGCCGCGAGGTAAGACAGCGGAGAAATAAAAAGCTAAACCCCCTTGCAAGTGCGACGTGAACGCTCGCACAGTGACTCGAGCAAGAACAGAGTTCTTTGCCTTGCCCCCCTCGAGTCGCACAGACGAATTATGAGGTGTCGATGACGGGAGGCATGTGGCGCAGCGGTGCTGATTGGACACTTGCGCCCTACTCAAGGACCACAGGCGACTTTGGGATGACTGACTTACATCATCGCACATGAGGGCGGATGTAGCTGCATGTACCCTCTGACCAGAGGTATATGCGGTCTGCAGCTTTACAGTCAGCCCATGGCACCCTGTCCTGGAAATGCACTGGTAAATTATCCAGTGTCAACGCCATTTGAGGTTGTCCCGTCTGCCGACCTACGGGTAGTTGCAGTACCAAGCAATCACCGGTTTCCACTTGTCTGCTGCATCAGGAAGCCCGTTGGGAGAAGCTGGAGAGCTCTCTGATTAGAGTAGCCGGGCTGTCTGAATAAGGGAGGTACGAATGCCTTCGGTCGCCCGGCTTGCCTGCATCTCCATCATCCTGTCGCCGTGCCGCCCTCACATCATGTTTCACCGCGCCAAGGCTGAGTACAGCGGCGGCTTCTATCAAACTTCGATGCCGTTTCTCAATCGAATCCTGTTCCGGGCCGGGGTCTTGCACAAGAGGACCTAAATATATGCGCGAATGCCATGGAACGGGGAGAGGCACATCACATACTCCAAGGCCATATCGAGACACAGGCACACACATGGACTACGGACACCCTTTCCCTTGCCCAAGCCTTCCTCCACCAAGCCGGTGAGATAGGTGACTCCGAGCAATACTTGTTGTGTGCCAAGCAAGCTTATCTGAACCAAGTTAGGCGCTATAACCGTATTGAAGCACGAGATCAAGAATTGCCCCCACCAGTTCGATAATGCGGCGTCGCTTACTCGATCAGAACCGTACCGACGGACCTCGCAGGAAGCAAGTCGGTGTAAGTGCCAGCCAAGCAAGGTAGTTATTGGATGCCTTGCTCGGTCTTGCCAGCCTTGAATACGTGTATCGCGTACGATGATACCAGGGATGCGCCAAGGCCCTTGAACCTGCTGTGCGCCATCATTGGCCATCAGCCGCATTCTAGCACCAAGAACTAGCAGCCGCTTGGGAAATGCGAAACTCGACAGTCCCATGTCGGCCATGTGTGGCCAGGATCAAAAGGCATTTCCCATCTCCAGGAGCTAGCAAATGGCGCCGGCGCAGGGAGCCCACTCTCGAGCAGGCCACACTGACAGAGTAATGCGTGTGTGAGGTGCGGGAGACCACTTTAACCCACATCGCTAGTGATCATTATCGCCCAACCCCAGTTCGCCGTCAGCCACCAAAGCTACCAAAACTCAACGGCCTGCAGGTTCCGTGCCCGGGTTGTTGGGACGTGAGCAGAGGCATGTCTCATAAGCACGAAAAAGCAAGGACACATATGTCCAACTGGGGAGCCGGCAGGCACGGAGACTTTTGT